GTCAGACCCGAATTGGAGCGAAATTCTTGCCAATGTGATGCTGCCGAGGCAAGACCAAAGGTTAGTTCCTCAATTTAATTAATCTTGGAACACTTGGGGAACATCTTACTCCCGTTAAATTCTTGTTTGATGCTTAAAATGCATCATACATGAAGCAAATATAGAATTTCATTAATGCAGTTGGAACTTTAATAAATATCTGGATTTGTGTTATTCATCCTATAATTCCTGGACTATTTTTAGCTATATGTCACATTGTAAATTTTTTAATTGATGCTAAAGGGTTATGGAAGGTGGCTGAGCTTAAAACCGTCTCTTTGGAAATGTTTGGTTACCATAATTATGCATTATTGATCATGAATTCCTTTCAATCATATGGTCTTGTATATGTTTTAGTGCAATTGTAGAGAATTTTTTCACAAAACTCAATTCTTCTGCACGTTTTTATTTCCCTTTCCTTAAATTGAAGAGCAGTATGGTGTTACCTTTTTTCCCCAAGTAAAGAATCATTTATCTTATTCATGTGCTTCAATTTTTGTTCTCTGTCCATTTGGCTTTTAATAGTTCTTGACAAATGTGCTAGGTGCTGAAACCTCTACAAGTATCTCAGTGCAAAAACCCCAAATTCATCAGCATCAGCCGTTGCCAAGTGAAGAATTTCATGCTGTTGCTAACCCATTGTCCACAGTAACCCAAACCAAAGCAGAATGCGATGGACTCCAGAACTTCATGAGTCATTCGTGGAGGCTGTGAATCAGCTGGGTGGTAGTGAACGTGAGTGGCCCTTTCAGTAAAATTGTCCCTGATCTAGTATGACCTGGGATATTATTTGTTTCACTCATTTTCGCCAATAACTTAATTTACAGGAGCTACTCCAAAGGGGTCTTAAAGGTCATGAATGTTGAAGGCTGACAATCTATCATGTTAAAGCCACCTGCAGGTCTGTGTATACTCTTATTTATTTAATTCCATCTTTCAACCTTGTTTAGTGGTTTATCGATTTAGCTAAAAATTAAAATTTTGAATTTCAGAAATATAGGACAGCCGACACCAACCAAGTCTCAGAAGGGATGAGCTATTGTTCACACTTGTTTTCTGTTCCTTGGTCATGCCATTGCCATACAAGTTATGATTAAGTTTGGTAGAATACAATTGGTTGAAAAGTATTGTTCTCTTGCAGAAACACAGAGAAGAATTGACCCCTACGAAGAGATGAAATCAATGGACCTGAAAACGTAAGCAAAATCCTTTACATTAAGTCATTATACTATCTAAAAGCCTCATTAGTGGACACCAACAAGAGGTTTATTACCATCATCTAACCCTAAAACACAAAAATTAGATGTGATTTTTGCATCGAAAACTGTAGAATTTGTCTTCTAATGTATTATTACTGTCGCTAATGGAGGTCGGATTTTAAAAAAAATGCAGATGTTTATCTGAGAATTCTTGTTTGTGTGTGTGTGTGTGTGTACTTGTGCCATTCTCTTATCATGTGGCTCAGAGTACTTATTTTCTTTTTTCAGTCTTCTAGTTACCATATCAGTTAATATATCTGAGAACTAGGCAAATTGCCATTCACACTATGATTAGATTCTTAAGACACTTTATCAAGTATAAACTTTATGGCAAAGCAGAAATCAGGAAGTTGCTTAATGGGAATAGAGAGTCCTGACTATATTGCCTCATTTTCTTGAGGAATTAAGTTCAGTCAATCCCTTTGATACTGCTAACTTTGCCCCTGTTAGCTTAATATAGCGGGTTTGGTGGGTGCAGGAACCTGTTTGAGAAATTAAATCTGGACATTCCCTTGACTGTCTAACTTTAACTCCTTATTATCCTTAGCTTTACATACTGGTTCTGGTGAATGCAGGGTCCTGTTTCTTGAAGACTTCTTTGTTGTCCTTCATGCTCCTGAATGCTTACATTGGTGGCCCCTGTAATGACGATCCATCAGTATATAAAAAAACTCTTTTAGTTAATCTAAAAGAAAGCTTATAGATAAAACTATATGCATAAACCATCACCCAAAATAGTTATGACCATTAGAAACTATGTTTTGCATACTGTTCATATAATTTTGATGAAGTGCCAGATATTATTTGACTTTTAGTACCATAAAAATGCCCTTTTTTTTTATCTAGAATGCTATACTTTCCGTTGTTGCTTCTCTGTGTTTGCCTCTATAAATTAACCATAGCAGCTCTTCTATAACTTTTCACTTCCAATGCAATGGTGAACAGTTAGTGTAATTTCAGTGTTGAAATCATACTATGTTGGTTTGATAACAGGACAATGAGCATCACTGAAGCATTGCGAATGCAGATGGAAGTTCAGAAGCGTCCATGAACAGCTTGAGGTACATTATTGATATCTAGGGTCAGTTTTTGGACCTAAAAATGCAGGTAAATTTTAGGGATAAGTTCAAGATAATGCAGTGACTGTTGATGGGATGAAAATAAAGTTGCTCCTGGTAGTTAAACCTGGCAAATCTTCCATATTGCTCTTAGAGTAATATCGTTTACAACCAAACTCACAACTCTCTTACAACCGCGAGTGACTGATACAATTGGTCAGCTCGCAAAAAATTCCGCTGTCCAATTGCGGCGCGCTGTCATGCGATGGTTGTGAAGAAAGTTGAGTTTGGGTTGTAAAGTAGATTATTCATTGCTCTTAATAGTTTGATGAAAACAATGAATTGTTGAGAAGAAAGATGTCACATAGTTGTCAATGTGATAAAGTCACTGAAAATAATGATGTGATAGCAAGAAGGTAAAGCGAGGGAGGATGGGTGAGAATTGTAGTTTGAAGTTCATAAATTTAATTTTGAGACCCTTTTCTTCTCTAATAAAATTTTGTAGAAAATCTGTTAATGTCACACCTACAGTTCTTATATTCGGTGTCATACTATTCAACAGATTCAGAGAAATTTGCAGTTGCGAATTGAAGAACAGGGGAAGTATCTTCAAGAGATGTTTGAGCAACAAAGAAAATTGGAGAATGATAAGCCAATGCTCTTCATCCAACCATGACAATCCTTCCTCTCCAACGGCAAGCCAAAGCAGCATTCACCCAAAAATGAAAAAACAGAAGCTGCAGAGCTGGATCTGACCAAAACAGGAAGAAGTACAGGTACGTCAACACTTCATCGGAAGAAAGTCCACGAGTTCAACAGGAAACAGAAGTCCCCTGAACCCAAACCTGTCGACTGGATGATGAAGTCGGGTCACACTAACACAAAACGAGCAAGAACAAATGAAACAGCAGAATGTTCAGCGGCATAGCATCGGATGACTGAACACCTTATGATGATATTATCTAATTTAGACAGAAGATCATTCAATCCAGGAGTTTCTGACAGTAGGTAATATTTCATCTTAGCAAAGACATATGAAGACTCAGATTTCAATATCATGTTCAATGTGGGGTTGAATTTGCACTGAAAGCTGACAGTAGGAGATGGATGTTCTGTAGAATGTTTGTGGTCTCTCTTCATGGAATAATGGTTCAAGTAATGTGACTGTTTATATGTATATAGATACAACTAATTTGAACCTCTTTTCTTATTTGCCTCTCAAATAAGCAAGTAAAATGCAAATCTCAAAACCACTTGGTTGTGGTGGATGCAAGATTTTAGGTTACCCAGGGTTTGTGTTCGAGTCCCACCAAGTAGTCATATCACATGTGAATTAATCATTGGACTTGTAAGTGTTCATGAACCAAAAAATAATTAAATACGGCAAAACAATTCGGAAGTCACAAACCAAACAGAAAGTTGTTATGTCCAATTGGCAAAGAATGTAAGGTTGAATTTGGCTGTATTCATTAATAATGAAATAATCTTAAATATATATTCTTCTATTTTTATATAAAAAATCGTTTTAAAGATGTTTTATTTTTCAAATTAAAAGGCGCACTTTGTCTGTCCTTCTCCCTTTTGTCATGGCCCAGTCTCCTTTGTTTCTCTTATCTTATCTTATCTTATCTCTTCCCCTCTCCTCCCTCTTCCATATTTTCCATCGCCCGCTTCTTCTTTCTCTGCGCTGGTCTTTGTTCCTGGTCCATTTGATATAGAATTTAAATATAGTTTTTTATTATTTTTGTTCTTAAAAATATTTTTTGTATAAACTAGTGTAATATTAAAAAAATGATTAAAAATTGTTTTTACAGTTTTTTAGAACTTTTGATCTGAAAACGATTTTTAAATTTTATATCAAATACATTTTTATTTATTAAAAATATTAAAATATACTTTAAATTTTTTAATAGTAGTTTAGTTTTTAAAAATTATTTTTGAATCAGCCCTAAATATTTTTACAATTTTAGAAGAATATTTTTTATTAAATTAAACAATGAGGTGTGACTCAATTGGTAACTGAGTTTTAAGTGGGACGAAATTTAACTGTAAAGTAAGGGGTTCAAATCACACTGAAAACACCTTGTGACCTCCAGTACTTACCAAAACCTTGATCATGATTAGTCTTATAATTTCGAGTATGGGGTAACCCGAATTCAAATCACACTAGAAGCACCTTATGGTTAAGGGTACTTATCTGGGGTTCGGACTACAATTGAAATACCTTGTGGCCAAGGATACATACCCGAGCCCCGATCAGGATTAGTCTTATATTTTCGAGTATGGGGTGACTTGACTCAAATTCAAAATGCACTAAAAGCACCTTATATCTAGGGATACTTATCCGAGCCCTGATGAGGGTTAGTCTCATAACTTTATGCATGGAGTGATCCAAGGCTTTCACCTTAAAAAAAAAAAACAAAAAGAGAAAGCAATTTAACTTATGCGTGACGTGAACACTTCAGAAATTACAGTTCTTTTTCTCTTTCACTTTCTTACCCGAGCGGCAATAACCCTTTGACCAAAGAACTCAAGTGGACTCAGCAACCACAAAAAGTACCACAAGAAACATCCAATTGTACTTGGCCCTACGTGTTTCCTTACAAAAGCAGCCATTCTTCATCGCCTACATCACTCCACCACTTCAATCAAATCCCTCCCCACACCATCACCGTTCAAGAAGTCATCAAACTTTGATCACGGGAACTAAACGGCTAAGAATCATGAAGTTAGAAACATTACAAACACGTTAAGCTTGGTAATGATTAATAGAAAGATAAATGAAGCCAAATACGTATTCTCCTCTCAAAAAGTTGTGACATCGTTGTCGAAATCTAGAAGACAATAGCTGTATTGTTTGTCAATCAAGAATATTTTTGTCTGTCTGCGTTTCAGCTCCTAGTCCTAGACATCGGCTTTCTATCCAATCATAAGCTGCTCACTGTTCAATCTTGATTTTAACGTAGTTTAGAGTAAGTTTCATCAGTACCCTTTTGGATTTATTGAGTTATGTTGTGTGTGGACAGGCTTTAAAACCCATTATCTGAAATACCCTTGTTGAATTTGGTGCCTTTTTGGTCTGTTTTGGATAAGTTTGAATCTGGGTTGTGTTTGTTTTTTGATTGAGAATTCGCAAGTTTGGTGCTTTTCTGTTGTGGGATTGATTTCACTATTTTCTTTGAGTTTCTGTGATGGTAAATACATAGCTCTTTCTGTAAAGTTTTGATTTTTGATGATGGGAACTTGATTGTCATTCACTATTCAGTGATTTTATTATGATTTTAAGCTCATGTTCTGTATCTGTCTGGGCTTAAAGGTTTCATTTCAGAATCGAACTTCGAATTTGGCACTTTGATACTCTCTCTTTGTGTTATGATTGGCCCGCAAAAGTATTTGTTTAATTTTGTATGAACAATATAATTTGAGTTGGATAGTATATTATGATTGATTCCATATATAGTGGTTACAAATAATTTTTTTCTGCTTTCCATCAGTCTAAAGCACAATTTCTTCTTTTTAATATTTTGTATCACTTAAACTTGGCGATTTGCTTAATCTAATCGGCTTTCTCTTGGAAACTTCAGTTCTAGTTCAGGAGATGAGGTACTTGGCTAATAAAGCTATGGCCATGAATAAAGAATACATCTAAAATGGCTTGTAAATTAAGTTTGAGTAAATCATTCGGTCTTGTGTAAATTATAGTACTGCTGATTTTTTAACATAACTGTGTTCACCTGATTGTCTATGTAAACTTCTAACTTTGAGTGATCGACTCAATTTACGGTAATAAAAATTATCTCTGAAGGGTTAAAGCCTTGAGAATAAGTTTCATCCTATATCCGTTGATGATGAGCATTTAATATGATTAATTTCTTATTTGATTAGAGTTCTTTTTGTTATCTGGTTATTTATGTTTGTAATGGTATAATTCATTGTTTATTTTTCTTACAGTTTCCACAGTTGTGCTTTACTGTGACTGTGGCCTTCTGAAGTAGTGATAATGAGCTTCAGAAACTGAATTTGACAATTGCATCCACAGCACACAGTAAGTTCTAGTGAGGCTTTAGTTGCTAACATTGGTTGAAACATACAATTTATGGCAGTAATGAGTATGCCCCGTTTTGTTTATTCAGGGACCAGTTGCAAAATAGCTGAGTGATTTGAGGATTCTGTGGCTATGTCTTCATCTTTTCCTTTTCTTCCTACCCATACAGGAGAGAAGTATCCCAAATTGCCCAACTCTTGTCAGATTTCCTCAGAAAAAGAACATATGACTAATCCCATATACCCCCAGACATCTCCTTCAGCTCCCAATCGTGCAACTGCTGGGCACTCATTTTCACCGTCTTCCAGATTTCCCAATGATATGCTTGTTTCTTCTGTTTCACCAAATGAAAGGAATTCCCAAAATTTTCCGTTCATTTCTCAATCGTCAAGAGGGCGAACAACAATGCCACCAACCCATTTTTCTCCTTCAGAAGTACAATCCACAGGTTCGATTAATGTCCCTGAGGAGAATAAGGATATGTCCTGGTGTATAGACCCAGTCCAGGATTTTCTTCATTTTCCTGAAAATGTCCCTATACGAACTGGACTGGTGGAAAGCAATACTGGTGATATGGGATCTGAGGATCATGCTAAGAGCGCTGAGTGGCAGGAGTGGGCAGATCAATTGATCTCTGTTGAGGATGGTCCAGACCCGAATTGGAGCGAAATTCTTGCCAATGTTGATGCTGCCGAGGCAAGACCAAAGGTTAGTTCCTCAATTTAATTTAATCTTGGAACACTTGGGGAACATCTTACTCCCGGTTAAATTCTTTGTCTTGATGCTTAAAATGCATCATACATGAAGCAAATATAGAATTTCATTAATGCAGTTGGAACTTTAATAAATATCTGGATTTTGTGTTATTCATCCCTATAATTCCTAGGACTATTCTTAGCTCATATGTCACATTGTAAATTTTTTTAATTGATGCTAAAGGGTTAGTGGAAGGTGGCCTGAGCTTAATACCGATAGTCTCTTTGGAAATGTTTGGTTACCATAATTATGCATTATTGATCATGAATTCCTTCCATCCAATATGGTGGTCTTGTATATGTTTTAGTGCAATTGTAGAGAATTTTTTACACTAAACTCAATTCTTCTGCACGTTTAGTATTTCCCTTTCCCTTAAATTTGAAGAGCAGTATGGTGTTACCTTTTTTCCCCCAAGTAAAGAATCATTTATCTTATTCATGTGCTTCAATTTTTGTTCTCTGCTTCCATTTGGCTTTTAATAGTTCTTGACAATGTGCTAGGTGCTGAAACCATCTACAAGTATCTCAGTGCAACAACCCCAAATTCATCAGCATCAGCCGTTGCCAAGTGAAGAATTTCATGCTGTTGCTAACCCATTGTCCACAGTACCCCAAACCAAAGCAAGAATGCGATGGACTCCAGAACTTCATGAGTCATTCGTGGAGGCTGTGAATCAGCTGGGTGGTAGTGAACGTGAGTGGCCCTTTCAGTAAAATTGTCCCCTTGATCTAGTATGACCTGGGATATTATTTGTTTTCACTCATTTTCGCCAATAACTTAATTTACAGGAGCTACTCCAAAGGGTGTCTTAAAGGTCATGAATGTTGAAGGCTTGACAATCTATCATGTTAAAAGCCACCTGCAGGTCTGTGTATACTCTTTATCTTTTATTTAAATTCCATCTTTCAACCTTGTTTAGTGGTTTATCGATTTAGCTAAAAATTAAAATTTTGAATTTCAGAAATATAGGACAGCACGACACCAACCACAGTCTTCAGAAGGTATGAGCTATTGTTTCACACTTGTTTTTCTGTTCCTTGGTCATGCCATTGCCATACAAGTATGATTAAGTTTGGTAGAATACAATTGGTTGAAAAGTATTGTTCTCATTGCAGAAACATCAGAGAAGAAATTGACCCCTACCGAAGAGATGAAATCAATGGACCTGAAAACGTAAGCAAAATCCTTTACATTAAGTATAAAGTCATTTATATCTATCTAAAAGCCTCATTAGAGGACACCAACAAGAGGTTTATTACCATCATCTAACCCTAAAACACAAAAATTCAGATGTGAATTTTTGCATCGAAAACTGTAGAATTTGTCTTCTAATGTATTATTACTGTCGGCTAATGGAGGTCTGGATTTTAAAAAAAATGCAGATGTTCATATCTGAGAATTCTTTTGTGTGTGTGTGTGTGTGTGTGTGTGTGTACTTGTGCCATTCTCTTATCATGTGGCTCAGAGTACTTATTTTTCTTTTTTCAGTCTTCTAGTTACCATATCAGTTAATATATCTGAGAACTAGGCAAAATTTGCCATTCACACTATGATTAGATTCTTAAGACACTTTATCAAGTATAAACTTTATGGCAAAGCAGAAATCAGGAAGTTGCTTAATGGGAATAGAGAGTCCTGACTATATTTGCCTAATTTTCTTGAGGAATTAAGTTCAGTCAATCCCTTTGATACTGCTAACTTTGCCCCTTGTTAGCTTAATATAGCGGTTTTGGTGGGTGCAGGAACCTGTTTGAGAAATTAAATCTAGGCATTCCCTTGACTGTCTAACTTTAACCTCCTTATTATCCTTAGCTTTACATACTGGTTCTGGTGAATGCAGGGTCCTGTTTCTTGAAGACTTCTTTTGTTGTCCTTTTCATGCTCCCTGAATGCTTACATTGGTGGCCCTTGTAATGACGATCCATCAGTTATCATAAAGAAAACTCTTATTTAGTTAATCTAAAAGAAAGCTTTATAGATAAACTATATGCATGAAACCATCACCCAAAATAGTTATGAACATTAGAAACTATGTATTGCATACGTGTTCATATAATTTTGATGAAGTGCCAGATTATTATTTGACTTTTAGTACCATAAAAATGCCCTTTTTTTCTATCTAGAATGCTATACTTTCTGGTTGTTGCTTTCTGTGTGTTTGCCTCTATAAATTACCCATAGCAGCTCTTCTATAACTTTACTTCCAATGCAATGGTGAACAGTTGAGTGTAATTTCAGTTTGAAATTCATACTATGTTGGTTTGATAACAGGACAATGAGCATCACTGAAGCATTGCGAATGCAGATGGAAGTTCAGAAGCGGCTCCATGAACAGCTTGAGGTACATTATTGACTATCCTAGGGTCAGCTTTTTGGACCTAAAAATGCAAGGTAAATTTTAGGGATAAGATTCAAGATAATGCAGTGACTGTTGATGGGATGAAAATAAGTTGCTCCTGGTAGTTAAACCTGGCAAATCTTCCATATTGCTCTTAGAGTAATAGTACGTTTACAATTCAAACTCACAACTCTCTTACAACCGCCGATGTGACTGCATACAATTGGTCAGCTCGCAAAATGGGTCCCGCTTGTCCAATTGCGGCTGATTAATTGCGCACTGTCATGTCGATGGTTGTGAGAGAAAGTTGAGTTTGAGTTGTAAACGTAGTATTATTCATTGCTCTTAATAGTTTGATGAAAACAATGAATTGTTGAGAAGAAAGATGTCACATAGTTGTCAACTGTGATAAAGTCACTGAAAATAATGATGTGATTATGCAAGAAGGTAAAGCGAGGGAGGACTGGGTGAGAATTTGTAGTTTGAAGTTCAATAAATTTAATTTTTGAGACCCTTTTCTTCTCTAATAAAATTTTGTTAGAAAATACTGTTAATGTCACACCTACAGTCTCTTATATTTGCGGTGTCATACTATTCAACAGATTCAGAGAAATTTGCAGTTGCGAATTGAAGAACAGGGGAAGTATCTTCAAGAGATGTTTGAGCAACAAAGAAAATTGGAGAATGATAAGCCCAATGTCTCTTCATCCAACCATGACAATCCTTCCTCTCCAACGGCAAAGCCAAAGCAGCATTCACCCAAAAATGAAAAACCAGAAGCTGCAGAGCTGGATCTGACCAAAACAGGAAGAAGTACAGGTACCGTCAACACTTCATCGGAAGAAAGTCCCCAGAGTTCAAGCAGGAAACAGAAGTCCCCTGAACCCAAACCTGTCGACCTGGATGATGAAAAGTCGGGTCACACTAACACAAAACGAGCAAGAACAAATGAAACAGCAGAATGTTCAGCGAAATCTGCATTGGACTGAACACCTTATAGAATTATCTAATTTAGACAGAAGATCATTCAATCCAGGAGTTTCTGACAGTTAGGCTAATATTTCATCTTAGCAAAGACATATGAAGACTCAGATTTCAATATCATGTTCAATGTGGGGTTGAATTTGCACTGAAAGCTGACAGTAGAAGATGGATGTTCTGTAGATGTTTTGTGTCTCTCCTTCATGGAATAATGGTTCAAGTAATGTGACTGTTTATATGTATATAGATACAACTAATTTGAACCTCTTTTCTTATTTGCCTCTCAAATAATGCAAGTAAAATGCAAATCTCAAAACCACTTGGCTTGTGGTCGGATAGCAAGATCTTAGGTTACCCAGTGGTTTTGTGTTCGAGTCCCACCAAGTAGTTACCTATCACATTTGTGACTTATCTGACCCATTAGACTTGTAGGGTGTTTACTGAACCACAAGAATTAATTAAAATACGCGCAAGCAGACTCGAACAATCTGGTCACAAACACAAATACAAACAGAAAGTTGCTATGTCCAATTGGCAAAGAATGTAAGGTTGAATTTGGCTGTATCTCATTAATAATGAAATAATCTTAAAATATTATATTAGTTTGTATTATTATATATCATAATACATTTTTATGAACTTTATTAATGTAAATATGAAAGAAATACCCATCAAAATCACAATTTTATACATATATAGCTTGAAAGTATTTTTTTTTTTTTTTAGTCAATAAGAAAACTCTTCACTTAATTCCTCAATTTATATCATAAAAAAGTTCCCAATTATAAATTAGATTAATATTAATTTCTCAATATTTAACTAAAATACAAATGGATCCAATTAATTCAAAAGAGTAATCTCAATGCAAAAATTTTGAAAGGAATTATGCAACAATCGAATTATTAGAATTAGTCCCTTTTTTTCTGTTAACAAAATGTCGTAGAGAAAAATGAAATAATTTTATGAGAAATTATATTATTTAGTCCAAATTGGGGGCATGAATTGAAAACTAGCCTTAAAGTGGAAAGTATCTCAAAAAATTAGCCTAACCCAATCTTCCAAATTTTCAAAGACGAAATTGCCCCTCCATATAAAAGCTTCATTCAACCAAGCCAGCTCTCTAACCCTTGGTAACCCTAATACTCTTTCCCTCCTCTCCAAAATCAATAGATTTTCTTAAAATTTCACCGGATTTGATCGAAAATCATCAAACTAGGGATGTTGATTTTGATTTGTGAGAAGAAAATGAGACATGTTTAGACTTGGATAGATTAAGATTTGAGTTTAGATGGTGTTAATGGCTTGGTTGTGTAGTTTAGGTAGTGAACATGGTGGAGAACAACGCGGTTGTTTGTTTTTTTTCACCGACACCCAGGTGTTAGGCGATGTTGATCACATTTAGACCAAATAGCCTTCTGGTCAAGTGACCAATACCTAGGTGTCGATCAATTAATTACGATGATTTATAGTATCTATTAAGGCATTTATTAGAGATGACTAATAGTGACCACTAATAACGGATAAGGAATAACATCTAACCAACATCTCCTATCAATTAAATATTGTCTTCAACCTTAGGACCTAGTTTCAACCGATATGTCCGAAACCATCGACACTCATGCCCATATTTCGTGAAAAAACACCCAAATCCATCCATTTTAATTAGGCCCAATCAAATATAAATTAAAATGGCATATAAAAGCAATCATTTAACAAAAAATATCTTCATTTACATGTTTTCTAGACAATATATCTTGACATGTTAAAAAAAATTAAATGTTTTCAAATTTCCAATAACATAACATATTTTCTCTCTTGTGGAGATTTTAATAAAGAAATATGCATAGAAAATCATTCAATAGCGTCCTATTCAGATCATAAAAGGAAGATTTGGTACAGTTTGAAGATCTGAAGAATGAGTTTTAATTTAGGGTTTAAGGAATTGTGAATGAGGGTAATTTTGTCCTTGAAATTTTGGAAATTGGGGATAGGCTAATTGATGAGAGACATTTTCCACTTTAGGGCTAGATTTTAATTCCCACATCCAATTTGGAGTAGATAATCATTTCTCCTATATTTTTATTTTATTTTTTTTATTTATTTTTTTTTATGATCAAGGGTATTCAGATTAGTTTACACATTCTTCAACTAATCTTTTGAAACTCTAAAGTTATGAATCGGGTACGAGTTCCAACAGCTATCTCTAGTAACAATTGAAGAAGAATTTAAACTTAAAACATCTTAAGTAATACATCAAAGTGTTTTTATCGAATCAATCGATCAATTTCTCCTATCTTTATTACCTTATAAAGTACCATATAAAAAATAATAAAAATAAAATAAGTGAGTATTTTTTTTTATTTTAAAGCATGGCTGTGCTGGGTTTCTTCATCAAGAACAAGATACAGCAAACACAGAAATTTATTTTTCCTTTCGAGGCATAATTCAAATTATTGGCGAGAAATCTGAATCATCAAAACGAAGATGTTGTTTCAAGTGGGAGGACAAGGGACACGTCCCACCTTCTTCGAGATGGCCGCTGCTCAACAGCTCCCCGCAAGTCTTCGAGCCGCTCTTACTTACTCTATTGGCGTAAGCCCTTTTCTTATTTTCCTTTTTTTTTTTCCTCTTTCTTCTAACTGTAATTATTGTCTACCCATTTGAGTTTTGGTGATTTTTTTCAAGTTTCTCACTGAATTTCCCTTCCCTTTTAAGTCGTGATATGAAGTGTATTTTACTGTAATTGTTTAATTCTCAAAATCTTTACTGTTTTCAGCTGAAATTTAACTTAAAAACTGAAAATTAAAGCTGATTTTGCTTCCGAAAGCCTTAAAATTACTTGCCTTTTGATGTTTGACCTAAGCTCTGCTATGGTAACTTCGTTGGTGAATTACACATTTGCACATGATTTCTAATTGTTAACTTTGTTTAAAGATTTTCTATAATTTATTTACTCACTGAAGTTCTGCATTTTGATATCAATAGCCAATTTGTTTTAAGCTTGATTGTTGTGTTTAACTTCAGGTGATCAAATGTTAGCCTTTATTTGTGTGTGGTGTTGCAGGTGTTGGCATTAAGAAGACCGTTTCTCCACAAGGTTTTAGACTATGAAGATGAATTCTTTGCTTTACTTATGCTGGTTCTTGAAACCCATAGTTTACGAAACACAGGTTTACGTCTTCAATAATGCTAGACATACAAAGAAATTTACAAATATTTTTTGTACAAAGTGATGTGACAAGAGATTAATAGAAGAGTGAATACAAAAAGTCAAATTCATTATATTCACTCTTCCATTTATCTCTTGCTATATCACTTTGTACAAGAAATCTTTGTAAATTTCTTTGTATGTATGGTATTACCCTTACGTCTTATTTCTCTCTTGAGTTTGTTGATGTGAATTTAATGAATTCTTGTTGTTGCTATTAGTGTTTAGTGCGCTATGGATTGTGTGATTTCCTGTTATTAGAAACCATATTCTTTATTTGGCAAATGTTAATGTTCCTGCTGTTTGAACTCTGCAAATTCCGTCTGAACTGCCTGATTTGAGCCATTATTTGTACAAATAGTATTTGGCTCTTCCATTTAACAAAAAAGATTTCTTGGATATTCAACCATTTCTCTTACATGAATACAGTGAACTCTATTGTTCCAGGTCTATGTAGTATCTTTCCATCAACACCCTAGTCTATAATTTCAAAATCTTATAGGAAGTCACAATCATCCCTAACAAATTCCCACTTAGGTATTAATGTCCATCCTATACTTAGTGATCCTCTGCATGCCGTATCACAACAGATATTATTTTCAATAACCATGCTCTGCATGTAAGCCGGGCATGCTTTTGGGTCATTTGCTGTTGTAATAGTCGTGGTTTCAGGTTGCTAAATCTCATTTTTTTGCTTAATTTTTTCAGATGCCTCTTTTTCTGAGTCACTCTATGGTTTGCGAAGGCGAGCAGTGAAAATAAAGGTAAAAAAGGATGATGCCAAACTGAAGATGAATGATGAAATTCATCATTCTGGATTAGAAAAGCGCCAAAAAGTTCTTTCAGTTGTATTTATGGTATTGTGTTCTTCTTCTTTGTCTGGCTATGTGTTTTTCCAAGTATTTGTTTGGCTTTTGATTAATTGATTGCTTTGAGAAATTCATCTACTTCTTCCCTTGATTTCATGGCTAGATGAGGAATTTTGACTTGTGGCTTTTATCTTATTGTTTAGGTTGTCTTGCCGTATCTTAAGTCGAAGTTGCATTCAGTATATAACAAAGAAAGGGAAGCCAGGTTGCAAGCCAGTTTATGGGGTCCTGGTGCTGAAAGATTTGGTGATGCAGACTATTTTGATGATGGGGGAGGTTCTCTTGTTTCTAGTGAAACTTTGGATACAGTAACATCAGTTAGAACACGTTTGACGAGGAAAATTCAGAAAGTCATATTTGCTTGCTATCCATGGGTACATGCTAGCTGTGAAGGTATATGGAACTTTAAGTTCTCATCATGTCTTTATTGGTAAATTGCTGATCGCTTATAAACTTAGATTTTCTCTTAGCAGATCTTTACTTTCAGAAAAATTAGTATGAACAGAAAATTGCAATAGTTAATTCATTCTTCAATCATAAGAGATTGAATATTCTTTTTATTTAAAAACAAAAATCAAGCATGAGCTGTAATAAAAATCCTTCTTATTGTTTTATGGTCTTATTAGTATTTAAAACCCAAAATATGCTATAAACCTAAAAAATAAAAGTTAGTTTCTTTATAGAAGAATGAAAGTGAAAATTTTGACTAGTGTACTGAACCTTTTTTCCTATCATATTTTAAAAATTTAAGTTATTAGTGCCTGATTATATTTGTGGTGTATAAGCTATGGCAACATTAAAATGATATACTTATCCAAGAATCTTTAAAGTATTATTTTTTCTTTATTTGGTATTATTTTTTCTTTATTTGGTATTATATTTTCTTTATATGGTATTATTTTTTGGTACAACACTTGGCTGGCTAACCATGTAAATCTCATTTAAACTCTTCTTCCATCCAGCAGGATTTTTTTCCTATAGTGAATCAATATTAATGCTCTGAATTAGTACTGATAGGTTTTGAAACTGTGACATTGTTTGATTCAGAGTGTGATCAAATGCAATCACGATCTTTGGCATAAGTTTGCTTTGAAGTAATACATCTGTGTTTTTGCCGTCTTCAAATATATTTTGTTTAATCTGAATAAAATCTCTATTTTAATCTAGTCTTTCATAATGCAGGATTATCATTTACTTACCAGCTCTTATATCTGCTGGATGCTACTGGGTTCTATTCTGTAGGGTTGCATGCTTTAGGAATTCATGTTTGTCGAGCTACAGGGCAAGAACTGGTAATAGATTCAGTTAGAATGGCTATACCAAATTTAAGTAGCAACGTGTGAACCCACACATAAAACTTTAATCTCCACTATTGATTAGAATCCAAGTTTTTGTTTATTATGTATCTCAATATTTTCTTCTTGACTTTTTTGATGTCAAGGTAGATGGATAATTCTTCTAGAATTTCAAAGATACGTACCCGTGAACGTGACAGACTTCATGGCCCTCTTTGGTTGAAGGTATAATTTCAATTTCTTTGTTTACTTGGTGACTTTAGGTAAACTTTCATACCACAGTGAATATATGTTTGCACAATTCTGAAAAGTGAAACAATTTAACTTGAAATCATTATTGAGATTATAGCATATTGAACAGCAACTATAAATGCTTACAGAAATTACAGGGAGCGTTGCTTAGCTGTACGTATGCCATGCTCGACTATGCACAGACTGGCTTGATTGCAGCAGTGTTCGTTTTTAAAGTGAGTGACTTACATGCATACAATATTATGTCCCTTTTGAAGTGGTAATTACTGTAAAAAGCTTAAATAATGCAAAACCTTTTAAGGGTTATTGTTGTTGTTTGGTGATACATTAAAGAAATTATTAGTTTTGAAAGTATCTTTGAACTTCATGTTACAATTATCATTATCTTCACCTCTATAGTGCTTGACTGATTGTTGTTTAAGAAACTAGGAAATAGAAAGTGGAGTAGGAAAGGTGACAGTCTATTTAGATGTAACTACCGGGTATCTTTATCTCCATCAAGATTCACAATACAATGACTTGTGAATGAACTTGTTTTATTTGGAATTCACCTATACTGGTTTCTAGCAGAATTATTTTATTATATTTTGATAAGATCCCAACTCATCCAACTCAAATTTACAAAAGGAATAATAAGGGCAAATGGCATGGTGTGCAAGTGGGAGTTGGTTATCCACGTGGCAATTACAATGGAATTGGTGTGACGTTTGTGAGTATAAATTGAGGGTTAGGAATTGTAGAGGGTAGAGAATATTTTGGTGGGATATTGGAAGGGAGGCCCCTAGCTCCTCGAATTGCTAGGTTATCTTTACATTCAGTACTGTTTTCTTAATTGTTCTTCATTATTGTTGTTATCCATTTCTGTATCAATCAATATAGAGGTGTATTCATATTAGTGCTTTCTCAATTGTCTCTGATCTGTGTTGGAATATTGTTCTGTTTGGGTATATTGTACTTTGTTTGGGTTGTGTTGAGTGTTAAGAGTCCAGATTCCTATCAATTGGTATCAGAGCATGATCCTGCGCCTATGTGGCAGCGCATGCGTGGCAGCCTGACCTATGGCAGGCTGACCTTGGGCTCGAGCTACTACCTCGAGAAAGGGTATGGAGGCCCGAGGGAAAGGGGATCTGCATAGTCACCCAAGGGGTAAAGAGGCCGACGTGGACGTTGGTTGCGGAAGCGTGGTGGAATGTTAGGATTTCACATTGAAAGGGAAAAGGGTGGGCGTGTGGGTTATAAAGGCTTGGGCACCCTCCCTTGGAAAGCCGGTTTTCCAAGGAGAGTTCTACCCAAGCCCATGAAAGACCCATGGCCCAGCCCAAATTGTTGAGTTATTAGAGTGGGTTCCTATCATATTTTAATATATGTCTTCCTCTATGAAATCTTTTTAATTCAATTAAATGGAGTTTCTCTTAGCACTTCTAGAGTTTGTTAAATTGTTCTCAGAATTTATATTCTTTTGTATGCTGTCCATAACTCTTGGAGCTAAGTTGATGTCTCCTTGTTTCATTTTTGCTCTATTTTCTTGGAACTAAATATGCATCTATGCAACGGGACAGTTTGAAATTAATCCTATTCATATCCTCTCATGCATTTTTTTTATTCAAATTTCATTTCCAGATATAAATCAGTGATGTTAAAATTTTTAATCAATGTCAATTACACAGATGATGGAGTGGTGGTATCAATCTGCTGAGGAGAGAATGTCAGCCCCAACTGTATACCCACCTCCACCACCGCCTCCACCCCCACAGGTCAAACAACAATCTGCTAATTATTTTTATCATCTTTGTTTCAATCTGTCAGACTCATGCACATCATCATCTCATTAAGTAGTTCCCAATGTTAGAAGTATTTAACTACTTTGCAATGGTGGTATTACTTAGTTTAACATACAGAAAAATGATGAACTTGAAAATAGTGTGGAATCAATGATTTGCTGTGCTGTGATTGTGAAGTCATTTTTTTTTACATTAACTTCAGCTCTTTTAGTTTTGTTTGTTTACATCATACATCAATTAAGCAGAAAAGTCAAGAGGCAACTAAATTTGGCTCTATGTAGTCTAAATAACAAGTTTAACTTATAATTTAAGCAGGTTGCCAAGGAGGGTATTCCACTGCCACCTGATAGAACAATCTGTCCACTGTGCTCGCAGAAGCGTGCAAATCCATCTGTAGTTACAGGCTCAGGGTTTGTTTTCTGCTATGCTTGCATATTCAAGTACATTTCTCAGGTGAGACTTCTGGACTGTTATTCTTATCTCTTAATTATTAACATGTACGAAGCTTTCTAGTTCCCTCTAATGTGTTGTAACTTTAGGATCGAATGTTACTAATTTTGAATTTTGTTGCCACAGTATAAGCGCTGCCCAGTGACATTGATGCCGTCGAGCGTTGAGCAGATCCGACGGCTCTTTCACGATGTATAGACATTAGACACAGACACATCTTAGCGAGTAAGCAAATATACCAAGAAATGAGCAGTGCCTGTACAAGCCAAATGAAACTGAAAGTGGCATAGAGTTAACGTTATAGTTGCCATACTACCAATTCTTTTGTCTTTTAAGCCATTTGTAAGCCTGGATTGTCCCTGCCAGAGGGATGATTTTACATATTTGAATCCAGTTTTAGAATGAATTGATGTTTTCTTATCTTAACGGCAATTCGTTGGCTTCCCTTTCCTACAATTTTCGATGAATCAAATCCATTGATCATGTTCTTGAGGGCTTACAGTTGATGGAAGTTAAATCTACATTTCACATTGATAAAGAGAGTTTATAATATAATAGACGTTTTCCTATGAAAGAAAAACCCATAGGACTGGCACAAGCCAAGTACCCAACAGGCTAACACACGATCATTGGGCACGACGGCGACTGGTTTGTATGAAAGATAACCTTTCTTTCTCGTAGGTGATATTAACAAAATAAGAAGATGAAGATTAAGATGAGTGGCTTAATTGAGGAAGCCTGACCTCCCTACATAAAGTAGATACTTGGGATAATTTTCTGATCTCTTATAGCTGACTCATTCAACACATAATTCCCCATTACCTCTCCCCTCTTAACCTCCACATAGTGCTTTCCCTTCCAAAAGCAAAATAACAGCAATAATAAAAATAAAATAACTTACTCTAAATAAACAATAACTGACTGTACATAGTGGAAGTGATTCCTAGGTTCCTCCCCGTGAAACCCGATTTGCATGAGATATAGAGGAAGTGGTAACCACCTTCAGACTTGGCCTTGCAAGGGATACGTAGCTCCCACAACTGAACATGTAACAGCGACGGTTCTCTTACGGAACGGCGCCGTTTGCAATCACATAATCAGGAGACCCTCCAGATACATGCGTCGGCGGCGGTGTAACTGGAGCACTTTCAAAGTGTTGAGGAGCATTGAGGACAGGCGAGGGGGGAGGTGATTGAGAAAACATCCTTTTGGAGGCCTCATAATCAGGAGACCCTCCAGACACGTGTGGCGGCGGCGGCGATGGCGGTGTAAATTGACCGCTTTCAAAGTGTTGAGGAGCATTGAGGACAGGCGAGGGGGGAGGTGATTGAGAAAACACCCTTTTGGAGGCCTCAGAAAATCCAGAAACACCTTGCGTTGCATGAGGAAGCTGAAGAATCAGTAGTACTGCAAACAAAGAAAGTAGGTAATTCAGAAACATTTTTTTTTTTTTTATTATTACTATGAGAATAATGTTTGTATCTTCCATGCATGGCCTGCCTTTTTATAGATATAGAGCTACGGAGCGGATGAGCCGTAGAAATACGATACCGTTTAGTGGCTTTTGCCTACTAACGAGTAACGACAAACGTATATAATTAATGTAGGTTCAGTGTCGACTTCGACCGTCGAATACTCAGGTTGGCTATGCGGTGGCTCCTCTTTTTTTATTTTTTTATTCTGCAAAAGATGCCGAAAAGCTTCTGGAAAGATAAGTAATCTAAAGAGTTTGACTCTTATAATTATATGGGTCAAGTCTCAACCAACCATTGTTTTTACCTTTTAGAACATAAAAAAGAAAAAAAGAAAAAGAGATTTCATTTCATGCAGTGCTATTGAGTAAGCAACCCCTCTAAACACGTCTACAACTGGTGGGAAAGGGGGAGTTTGATTTATTTTATGACAAATAAAAATGTAATTGATATTTCAAAATTCTTTCCTTTTTTTTTTTTTTCCTTTGATAACGAGAGATTTGTATTGTAGCCAAACGCAGAGCACGTCTCAAAAAGCTTGTAGCCTTCTAGAACCGTCGTCATCTTCCTTAAAGTACATGAGCAACCTGAAGAGTTTGACTATCGTATCTACCCATTAATATTATATGGCTCAACTAAGCATTGTTTTCATAAGATACAGATAAATTTAATTAGTTTCATCAACACAATTTAGCTCTCAAAGATAACAATTGGAATTATATTAATAGAAAAGAAATGTAATTTTTTAATTGCAGTAAATAATTGTGAATTAAATTATAATTATATAAAGATTTTAAAAGAAATTAAAATATCAGTAAGAGAGTGTTATTGAGTAAAGATTAAGCAACCCCTCTAACATCAGCAAATATGGTGGCACGACGTGGAAGTCAAAAGACTTTTTTTTACTTGCAAGTTGAATTTAATAAATGCTTGTATACTAAACAATTTTCTATTTATTTTATGACAAATTAAAATATATATTTGATATTTCAAAACAATAAAATAAAACAAAATTGGTGATAATGCTTTAGATTTAATAAAATAAAGGTGAGCTAATATTAAGATACAGAGTAAAAGGGTTTAATTAAGTTTTCCAAGTTCAGTGGGGGCATTAGCCCCGTATTCATCCATTAGTGGCTCAGTCTTTGGGTATGTTATTAGATAGTTGTCTTAACGTGTAATCTTATAGCATATGTTAAGAACACTAATTAATGAAATATTTTATTTATTTCAATAGATTTAATGTACAAAATAACACATTTTTCAAAGGGGTGTCTTCCAATGCAAACATGGACCTAAGAGCTAGTTTAGTATCCATAATTCAACTCAATGTGAGAAAAGAGCTCTTTATTCCTTTTCCACACTCGTTTTTATACTTTCCCATAAGATCAACCTCTCTCTTCAAATAGAAACACTTGCTTCATGATAAGTATGAGGTTTCAATCCCCTTTCATAATCACCAACTTTCTTGCTTGATGATAAGTATGAAGTTTCAATCCCCTTTTATAATCACCAACCTTAATATGTCAACAAAAAGTGGACTTTTAATTTAACTAAATTAAATGGTAATGCATTGCCATACAGACATGCACCTATATATACTTTGAATTACATTTTCCCTATATATCCTTTACAAATTCATTTAAAGTTCCTTTTTTCTCCCTTATTAACTTTCTTTGTTACTAACATCTCTTAAAATTTCATCTTAACATCTTTGGAAACTTGACTACATAGAGTTAATGTTATAGTTGCCATACCCATGGCTACCAATTCTTTTGTCTTTTAAGCCATTTGTAAGCCTGGATTGTCCCTGCCAGAGGGATGATTTTACACGTTTGAATCCAGTGTTAGAATGAACTGATGTTTTCTTATCTTAACGGCAATTCATTGGCTTCCCTTTCCCACATTTTTCGATGAATCAATTCCATTGCTCGTGGTCTTGAGGGCTCCCAGTTGCCTCATTCACACATAACTCAAACACTTGCATGTGCCATCAGCTAAAATGGTTGCACGTGCAAGTCAAAAAATGCTAAAACTTTTTTGACTTAAATTTCGTTAGTAAATTTTTGTATACAAAATAATTTTCTATTTATTTTATGGCAAATTAAAATATATTTGATATTCCAAAACAACAAAATATTTAAAGGGCCCGGCTGGAGAATTTGCCCAATGCCCATCCCTTATTAGTGGCTCAGACTTCAGCACGTTATTAAAGGGTTATCTTAACATGTAGTCTTATTCTTATAGCATGTGTTAAGAGCACTAATTAATAAAATATTTACTTATTTCAGTATATTTAATGTACAAAATAACATATTTTCCATATTAATATTCTAACTATTTTGTTTGTTAATAATATTTATGTATGTCTTTAAGACACCCATCAACATAATTCATTATTAAATAATAGAGAGATGCTGTAGATGAAAAGTGTCAATCTTGAAACTTTGAAAGAGAGTAAAAGACTATCAAATCAAACCAATGTTGTAAGATCTGGACCGGGACTCACCCAGTCAAGGGGCTGGTTATCAGGTCGGACCGGTTGGATCGACCGTTCGGATCAATGATGACATGAGCATGGCATAATAAAATTTTAAAATCCTAATAAATTTCTAAAATAATTACATCCAAATCGAAAATCCATATAACAATATAATATAAATAAAATAAATTTAAAATCTCAATCTAAAGATGAAATGATAAATAAAATAAGTCCGAAATCCAAATCCAAATAACAATATAACATAAATAAAATAAATTCAAATCCATTTCAATTTCAATTTCAAAAAAAAAAAAAAAATATGGGCATTATGTGAAGGTGAGTTCTATGTGGCTTTTTGTCGAATAGGTGGTGTGCAGGTTGGAGTCGACAGAAGTTAGGTGGGGAGTGGCCGGCGACCGGTGAACACAACACAACAACACAAACAAACTTCCACAAACAACTCCAAACAATCAACCTCCAACAATTGACTCCAACAACCCAAAACCACAATCTCCGAGCAATAAAAAATCTCACGATTTCAAGGGTTGTCGCACAAACTGACTAAGCGAACTACAATCCATATCGAATATTAGAAGATTTGAAGGAGGGAAGATGAAGAACTATAGATTGAAATTGAAGAATAGAATTTAGGGAATTTAATTTTAGGAATTAGGAATTCGGTTTAGCCACCGATTCTCTAACCAGACGGTTGAACCAACGATTCGACACTGTTTCGTTGGTTCAATCCTAGGTCAATCATGTCCAACTTAGTATGGCAATGGGCGGGGCCAGGACTGGGTACCCCTTAGCCTAGGCCCAAGCTTGACCTCATGACAAAGGCCTAAGCCCGGCCCGGACTCGTCACGGGTATGATAGGTAAAGCCCAAGCCCGTTCGGACGGGCTTTTTGTAACCTCAAGCTGGGCCCAAGCTCACTCATTTTTATAATGTGAATTTTTAAATATTAATAAATTTCAATTTTTTTTTATATTTTTAATTCTAGAAACAATTTTTGAATATTAATTTATTTTTTAATACTCACCAAATATATAAATAACTTTTCACAAAGTGCATCCATCCATCCATGTAGGGTTTGGGAAAAATAAGTATATATATGTAGGATAATCTTGTAATTAAATATATAGTATAAGGGTAATTTAGTATAATTAATACTAAAATTGCCGGGCCGGGCCGGGCCTGAAGACATACCCAGGCTCGGCTTGTACCCGAGGTCAAGCCTTAAAATAAGGCTCAGGCTCAAGCCCAAGCCCAAGCCCGCGAACATCAAGTAAAGCCTGATCTTTTTGGGCTGGGCTGGGCTGGGCCGGGCTGAGTACCCAAAAATATCGGGCCCATTGCCATTTCTAGTCCAACTACTATAACCGGGTTTAGGATGTACCTGGACCGGATAAGGGTCCGATTCTCGGTTGGACCCATTGAACCGGCCGATCCGGTCCGAGTTTTAAAGCCATGAATCAAACCAATCAACTCAAACTCCCAAACCCACACCATCAAATCATCACAAAAGATCATTAAAAAAAAATTTAATTAATTAATGCATGTTAAAAGTAATTCTACAAGTTCGAATCCAAATTTGTGATTAATTGATGTTTATTCTTCTCAACAAATTTATGTGGAGGATAGATTAATGCATATTATCTGAGAGCTGAAAATCCCCAATTAAATTCCAATCAAAAAGTGTTCAGCTATTCAACAGAACCTTATTTTACACATACGCATTTCCACTAAGTTTGCGTTATTCGTTCGTTAAGTTTCATATAACTTCTGTTTCATTGAGCTCAAGGTCATTTTGAAGAACAAAACCAAACATGCAATAATTCTCCAAACCATGTATTTTCGTGGCTAAACCATTAACAATATCATGATCCTGTTTTGAACGTTTCAGGAAATTTATATAATAATAATGTGGAGGATATGTTCTTGTTAACCATCTATAAAAAGCCAACATAAGTTTAACATTTGCATCACAAACTAGATAAAACCACCAATATATTTACAAGACAATTAACAATAGGATCATAATACTACCAAAACACTTTCCCATGCTAAACCATCTCATACTCCATTAGAAAACAAGCTAAACTTCAACAACACCAATTTCCAAAGCTTTCTCCAATCTTGCTTCAAAGGGGGTAGATAGCAACTTCAATCTCTCATCCTGCACAAGCAAAATCAAATTTATCAGTACCTGCATCGACTAATGCATACATGAACACACAAGCCTAACTTCTATTATACCTCACTATTTCTGCTTCTTGTTTTTGGGATTCCATGAGTAGAAGAGCCCGAGTCTGAATCTATAATTTTCCCTGTATGTTTCCAGAAGCTCCCAACAGTCCCTATTACAGGTTCCTGTGGAGTTGTAGATCCAGATAATTGTTTGAGCTCCTCAACTGTCAAGGCTCCTAAAACTGGTTTGTCTTCATGACTTCTTGATGAATTCACAATCTGAGATGGCGAATTCCCGACAGAAACAGAGCTAGTCTTGGACATCGGGGTGGTTTCGGATTCAACCAACCAGCTTGAGAGGCTGGTATCAACTGCAATTTCTTGTTCCACAACCTTCTTATTATTAAAATTCAATTTTGCACTGTGAGTTAATAGCTTGACATTAGGCTCTGGACTAGTGGGAACATCATGATTTTGCACCGAACTGATGTTCTCCTTATCTTGGTACTTTGATACTGGAGGTGTTGCTCTTGCTTTTACCACTTTCCATTGACTAAGATTTTCAACTGGACTCAAGACGGAATGAACAAACTGACTCCTATCTCTAGCATTTTTACTCAATCCAATTTCCTCGAGTTCTGGATTCGCGCAATGAATTGGCATCGGACTACTATTCACCTCCTTTTCACCTGATTCAACTTCAGAAAATTGCTTCCTGGACTCTATTGATAAAGAAAACAATGACTCAGATGACTCTGCTTGAAACAATTTTTTGTCATCACCATCACTGTTAACATCATCTACTTCACATTCTTCAAAGTCTAAATCTTCAATTTCTTCCTCACTACTTGCACAATTTTGGTATCTATGATTTGAAACATGAGGTATTTCAATTGGGGTAATTGAATCAGAATCTAACTTGATTTCTTTTGTTGGATCCTCTCTCTTTTCACTCCCTTCCTTCTCCTTGTTTTCGACTAAATTATCAAAAACATGAACTTCCTCACCCTCTTCCTTCTCCTTACTGGTTTTAACTAAATTATCATTAACATTAACTTCCTCATTAGTTTTAACATTCAAATCAAAACTAACTTCTCTTTCAGTACTACCACTGTTTGGCTCCTCAAGCTTCTCCCTACGTATATACACATAAAAATCAAATGAATACATAAGAAAAAAAAAAGAAATTAAATCATTTATAAAATAGAAAGAAAGCACAAGGAAAAATGTATGTACATTATACATATTATTGCCCTAGTTTTGAGATTGCTACTCTCAATGCTCATATAAACAACTTCGAAAACCCAGAAACCATTGACCTATTTAATACTTTGAAAAAATCAAAACCCGAGAAAAAAAAAATATACAAATAAATATATAAAATAAAAGGTAAAAAAAAAAAACACTAGATTTAGACTTGCTGAAAAGGATAACTCACTTTGATTCTGAAATGGGTTTCTTAGTTTCTGCTTGCTTAATCCATTCAGTCACTTGAAGAACTGCGCTAACCTCATCATGTCTCTGCAACAACAAAATTTCATTAACCAAAACGATTTACTCTGGACAAAAAAAGAAGAATCCCTTTAAAGTATCAAGGTTGGAACTATTCTTACAAGGTCTCTATAGTGATTTGTATTGGCCAAACGCTTGTGCTTTCGATGCTTATTAGCGCTAAAACATGGAAAAAAGCAGACCATTATGAGAAAAAATGCTGACTTGTATGTAAAAAGTGCTTCTTTCTCTTCAACAGAAGCGCTTTTATTTGAGTGGTTTAGAAAATGATGGTCATAGAGAGAGAAGATAAGTGGGGAAAAGATGGATGAGGTTGAAATGGAGGACAGAACGGTAAAAAGATTCTGAAGTATCTGATGAGGATTGAAAATTTGACCGTTAAGATTCTTTTATTTAAAATTTTGTTTGGGCTTTCATTTAAGGCCAGAATGGATTTCTCTGAGTCGCGTTAATTAATACAGCAACTGAGTTACTTAACTAGTTTAAGCGGCTTATTTATTATTGTTACTTTTTATTATTAGAAATTTATTATAAATAATCTTCTATTATTTATTTAAAATTAATATGATACTGAGAGATTAATAATAGTAGTAGACTAAGGGGTGTTTGGATGTGGTTATATGGGATTACTACAAAATGTTATCATATATTACTTATATTATCATGTTTGGTTGTCGAGTAATATAAGATTTTAGTAATCTTATAAAACCAATAGTAATTACTGTTAGTTATATATGTGATAATCTGATTACCATTATTTTTTTAGGTATTTTGAGATTACTTGGTTATATAAGTTTTGTTATAATTCTACCTTTATTAATAAAATTTTAAGACAATAATGTTCTTATTTTGATTTTAATTTACATGAACTTGCCATTACAATTTTACCCCTAATTAATTAAGTTTTTTTTTTTCTTTTTAACAGTATCTCCTTGTATTTAAAACAAATTGTAGGCCATTCAAGACCACCCCCACCCCCCAACAACCATCGTCGGTGACTGCCGACCAACATGTCTGAAACAACGCACGACCGATTAGATCTGGTTGATCATGCGTCGATCTGACTATTTCTAACTAGATTTTCAAACTAGATCCACATTGGATCTAGCCAAAAACGGCCAAATCGAGACACAATTGACCAGATCTGGTTAATCGTGCACCATTCCAACGACTGTTGACTGCCGTCCGACGGTGGTGGCCGGCTATCATCTTGGGTGGCTGAGGTGCTTTAGTTAATTTTTAAACTTTTATTGTGGGGGTATTTAGCTAAATTAACAAATGTAGAGGGTTACAAAAATAATCTAAAATAATAATAATATTAAAATGGAAGGGCAATTTAGTAATTTATATAAAATATCCACTAATTTATTCTTCCCAACCAAATATATAAATATAACATACCTATCAATTTATTTCAATCTAACCAAATACATTTATTTAAATAGTCCTAGTAATCATCAAAGTAATTTATCTTCCCATTAATATGACATTTTTATTTTCCAGTAATACAACATTCCCTGAACGAAACACACCTTTTTAAGATAAGATAGTACTATAATTTTTTGTTTCAAATTTTAAATTTCAAATGCATATTTTCTTTTTGAATTATATGGTTGTAATTGAATAAATTATTGTGTGCATTGATGAAATTAAAATGGTAGCGGTAGGGAGAGGGCTTTAGTATAAGCTAGATTTAGATGGGCTGGCGTGGACCATGTTTGCGTGTATTATGCAGGAGGCCTAGGCCATTTTTCTGTGTTTGGATAAGTAACTTCCTAACTTTGTACGCCAGGCAGAATAGGCCTAACTTTATTTAAACCGTTTGTTAAGCATTTTCACAATATTTTGTCAAGATTTGGTTCACAGTGTTTATAATTGTGTTATTATCATGGACGCGGATGTATTTAGTTGAGCCTAATTTTTGTGTATGTGAAACAAAATCTCCAGTTTATGTAATGTTATTTCTGTAAATATTTAAACTGTTTAATTGTAATATTAATGTTAAATATTTTGATGATGCCGGTCACGCGATTGTTTATAGTTCAGTTGCATGTGTAAAAAATATGTATTTATAACACATAATACATTCAAATTAGTGTTCATCGTATCTGAAAATAATAATGTAAAACATATAAATATCTTTGTATCAAGTAAATTATATTCCTGTATATATCTGTTAGGGCCAAAAATCGTCCTTGGCCCAAATAGGGAAAAAGGACCATTAGCGAAGAAGGACCAAGCCCAGTCCTGCAAAGGCCCACGCCATGTTAGTTCTCTNATTTCTGGTCAGAAGTTAGGTCGTTGTACAAATTCCGGCTATCACCGACGGTGGTTGTCGGAATCTGACAAGTTGGGTTGATGGGGGTGTTTTTGTTAATTTTTAAACTTTTTTTAGGGGGTATTTAGTGAAATTAATAACTTTATGGGGTTTAAAAGTAATTAAAAAAATAGAGTAATATTTCTAGAATAATGTGCCAAACATTATTTGGAGAATAGGACCCAGAATATGGATAAAAATATTAAGCCAAACATGCAGCTAACTATTTTGTTTGTTAAAAATATTAAGACACCCATCAAGATAATTCATTGTTAAATAATAGAGAGATGCTGGTGATGAAAAGTGTAAAACTTGAAACTTTGAAACAGACTAAAAGAATATCAAATCAAACCAATGTTGTAAGATCCGGACCGGACTCACCCAGTCAAGGGGCTGGTTCTTAATCGGACCGGTTGAATCGGCCGTTCGGATCGGTGATGACATAAGCATGGCATAATAAAATTTTAAAATCCTAAAAATTTCTAAAATAATTACATCCAAATCCAAAATCCATATAACAATATAAAATAAATTTAAAATCTCAATTTAAAGATGAACTGATAAATAAAATAAGTCCGAAATCCAAATCCAAATAACAATATAACATAAATAAAAGAAATTCAAATCCATTTCAATTTCAAATAAAATAAAATCTGGGCAGTAGGTGCAGGTGAGTTCTATGTGGCTTTTTGTCGAACAGGTGGTCTGCAGGTTGGAGTCGACAGAAGTTTGGTGGGGAGTGGCCGACGACCGGTGAACACAACACAACAACACAAACAAACTTCCACAAACAAATCCAAACAATCAACCTCCAACAATCGACTCCAACAACCCAAAACCACAATCTCCGAGCAATAAAAAATCTCACGATTTCAAGGGTTGTCGCACAAACTGACTATGGAAAGGTGGAGTTCGGATCGGACTAGCGGAGGCGGGAGGCCAAGTGAACTAAACTGCAGACGGCCGGCGACGCGAAGGCTAAGCGAACTACAATCCAAATCGAATATTAGAAGATTTGAAGGAGGGAAGATGAAGAACTATAGATTGAAATTGAAGATTAGAATTTAGGGAATTTAATTTTAGGAAATAGGACTTCGGTTTAGCCGCCCATTCTCTAACCCGACGGTTGAGCCAACTGTTTCGCCGGTTCAATCTGGGTCAATCATGTCCAACTTAGTGATGGCAATGGGCCGGGCCGGGACTGGGTATCCCTTAGCCTAGGCCCAAGCCCAACCTCATGACAAAGACCCAAACCCGGTCCAGACCTATCATGGGTATGATAGGTAAAGCCCAAACCCGACCTGACAGATTTTTTGTAACCTCAAATCGAGCCTAAGCCCGTTATTTTTATAATGTAAATTTTTAAATATTAATAAATTTTAATTTTTTTTAATATTTTTAATTCTAGAAAGAATTTTTAAATATTAATTTATTTTTTAATATTCACCAAATATATAAATAACTTTCCCCAAAGTGCATTCATCCATCCATGTAGGGTTTGGAAAAAATGAGTATATATATGTAAGATAATCTTGTAATTAAATATATAGTATAAGGGTAATTTAGTATAATTAATACTAAAATTGTCAGGTCGGGCTCGTACCCGAGGTCGGGCCTTAAAATCAGGTCCAGGCCCAAGCCCAAGTCTGCAAACATCGAGTAAAGCACGATCTTTTTGGGCTGGGCCGAGCTGGGTACCAAAAAATATCGGGTCCATTGCCATCTCTAGTCTAACTGCTATAACTGGGTTTAGGATGTACTTGGACTGGATAAGGGTCCGATTCTCGGTTGCACCCATCGAACCGGCCGATCTTGTCCGAGTTTTAAAGCAATGAATCAAACCAATCAACTGAAACTCCCAAACCCACACCATCAAATCAACACAAAAGATCATTAAAAAAATAATAATTAATGTATGTTAAAAGTAATTCAAGGCCGTCTCTAGAATATTTGTGACCCTAGGGAGGAGTTACTTTGGGGCCCTCTAATAATATAAGCATATATTAAAAAAATTATTATTATTATTATTATTTTATTTTTTTGCTTTTTGAGATGAAAAATCACTAGGAGAGGTGGACAGCAACTGGCAGGCTAACAAGGTTAGATTGGTGGGGGGTTTTGGAGAGTAGATGTTGGAGAAGTGATGGTTGATGAAATTGGTGATTTCCAATGCCAAGATTGATAAGAAAATGCTTAAGAAGTCACGGCCCAAAAGGTATCGATGGCCGGCAATTGGCAGAGCAAACAGATAAGATATGAAAGGGGTTTTGGTGAGTGGGCTGAGGGGAGGAAGATGGTGGTGTTGAGGAAGGCCAACAATGTCGAGTACATGCCAAAAAGGCTTAAAATGGCTGTCGTGTGGTGGAGTTGGGTTGCGAGATTCATAAAAAATTAGTCAAATCGAGGGCTATCAAGGTTGGGAAATGATAAAATGATGATTTCGGTCGATTTTGGTGAGAAAATCAACCGGAACCAAAATTGACCGAAATCAACTCCAAACCACTGGCGGCAGAAGAGGATTGGAGATGATTTATGTGAATGTCAAATTTTGGGATTGAATTAGGGGTGAGTAATTTGAGATAAATAAATAACTATTTTAGTCTTCCATTGTTAAAAGAGATTCAATGTGTTAATTTAGGGGTATAAACTAGAATATATAAAACTAGAGGTACAAACTTGCTATTTTGTTAAACTTTGGGTGGGAATATATGTAAAAAGTTTATAATAAATTTAGGTTTTTTTGGCTTTTTTTTGGGGGCCCCTTGGCTTAGATAAGAAATTATAAACCATTTTTGTAAAATATTCAAAAAAAAATTTATAAAAAATTTGGGCCCCCTTTTTTTTGGGGCCCCTTTTTTTTTTGGGGGCCCTACCTGCCTAGCCCTTAAGCCGGCCCTGAAGTAATTCTACAAGTTCGAATCCAAATTTGTGATTAATTGATGTTTATTCTTATCAACAAATATATGTGGAGGATAGATTAATGCATATTATCTGAAAGCTGAAAATCCCCAATTAAATTCCAATCAAAAAGTGTTCAGCTAGTCAACAGAACCTGATTTTACACATACGCTTTTCGACTATTTGCGTTATTCGTTCGATAAGTTTCATATAACTTCTGTTTCATTGAGCTCAAGGTCATTTTGAAGAACAAAACCAAACATGCAATAATTCTCAAAACCATGTATTTTTATGATCCTGTTTTGACCATTTCAGGAAATTTATATAACTAGAATGAGGAGGATTTATTCTTGCTAACCATGTATAAAAGCCAACATAAGTTTAACAGTTGCATCACAAACTAGATAAAACCGCCAATATATTTACAAGACAATTAACAATAGGATCATAATACTACCAAAACACTTCTCCCATGCTAAACCATCTCACACTCCATTAGAAATCAAGCTAAACTTCAGCAACACCAATTTCCAAAGCTTTCTCCAATCTTGCTTCAAAGGGGGTAGATAGCAACTTCAATCTCTCATCCTGCACAAGCAAAAACAAATTTATCAATACCCGCATAGACTAATGCATACGTGAACACACAAGCCTAACTTTTATTATACCTCACTATTTCTGCTTCTTGTTTTTGGGATTCCATGAGTAGAAGAGCCCGAGTCTGAATCTATAATTTTCCCTGTATGTTTCCAGAAGCTCCCAACAGTCCCTATTACAGGTTCCTGTGGAGTTGTAGATCCAGATAATTGTTTGAGCTCCTCAACTGTCAAGGCTCCTAAAACTGGTTTGTCTTCATGACTTCTTGATGAATTCACAATCTGAGATGGCGAATTCCCGACAGAAACAGAGCTAGTCTTGGACATCGGGGTGGTTTCAGATTCAACCAACCAGCTTGAGAGGCTGGTATCAACTGCAATTTCTTGTTCCACAACCTTCTTATTATTAAAATTCAATTTTGCACTGTGAGTTAATAGCTTGACATTAGGCTCTGGACTAGTGGGAACATCATGATTTTGCACCGAACTGATGTTCTCCTTATCTTGGTACTTTGATACTGGAGGTGTTGCTCTTGCTTTTACCACTTTCCATTGACTAAGATTTTCAACTGGACTCAAGACAGAATGAACAAACTGACTCCTATCTCTAGCATTTTTACTCAATCCAATTTCCTCGAGTTCTTGATTCGTGCAATGACTTGGCATCGGACAACTATTCACCTCCTTTTCACCTGATTCAACTTCAGAAAATTGCTTCCTGGACTCTATTGATAAAGAAAACAATGACTCAGATGACTCTGCTTGAACCAATTTTTTGTCATCACCATCACTGTTAACATCATCTACTTCACATTCTTCTAAGTCTAAATCTTCAATTTCTTCCTCACTACTTGCACAATTTTGGTATCTATGATTTGAAACATGAGGTATTTCAATTGGGGTATTTGAATCAGAATCTAACTTGATTTCTTTTGTTGGATTCTCTCTCTTTTCACTCCCTTCCTTCTCCTTGTTTTCGACTAAATTATCAAAAACATGAACTTCCTCACCCTCTTCCTTCTCCTTACTGGTTTTAACTAAATTATCATTAACATTAACTTCCTCATTGGTTTTAACATTCAAATCAAAACTAACTTGCTTTTCGGTACTATCACTGGTTGGCTCCTCAAGCTTCTCCCTACGTATATACACATAAAAATCAAATAAATACATAAGAAAAAAAAAAGAAATTAAATCATTTATAAAATAGAAAGAAAGCACAAGGAAAAATGTATGTACATTATACATATTATTGCCCTAGTTTTGAGATTGCTACTCTCAATGCTCATATAAACAACTTCGAAAACCCAGAAACCATTGACCTATTTAATACTTTGAAAAAATCAAAACCCGAGAAAAAAAAAATATAAAATAAAAGGTAAAAAAAAACACTAGATTTAGACTTGTTGAAAAGGATAACTCACTTTGATTCTGAAATGGGTTTCTTAGTTTCTGCTTGCTTAATCCATTCAGTCACTTGAAGAACTGCGCTAACCTCATCATGTCTCTGCAACAACAAAATTTCATTCAACAAAACGATTTACTCTGGAACAAAAAAAGAAGAATCCCTTTAAAGTATCAAGGTTGGAACTATTCTTACAAGGCCTCTATAGTGATTTGTATTGGCCAAACGCTTGTGCTTTCGATGCTTATTAGCGCTAAAACATGAAAAAAAGCAGACCATTATGAGAAAAAATGCTGACTTATATGTAAAAAGTGCTTCTTTTTCTTCAACAGAAGCGCTTTTAGTTGAGTGGTTTAGAAAATGATGGTCATAGAGAGAGAAGAAAGAAGGGAAGTTAAGTGGGGAAGAGATGGATGAGGTTGAAATGGAGGACAGAACGGTAAAAAGATTCTGAAGTATCTGTGAGGATTGAAAATTTGACCGTTAAGATTCTTTTATTTTAAATTTTGTTTGAGCTTTCATTAAAGGCCCGAATGGATTTCTCTGAGTCGCGTTAATTAATACAGCAACTGAGTTACTTAACTAGTTTAAGCGGCTTATTTATTATTGTTACTTTTTATTATAAATAATCTTCTATTATTTATTTAAAATTAAAGTGATACTGAGAGATTAATAATAGTGCTAGACTAAGGGGTGTTTGGATGGGTTTATGTGGGATTATTGCGATAATGTTACCATATATTATTTATATTACCATGTTTGATTTTCGAGTAATATAAAATTCTAACAATCTTATAAAACTAATAGTAATTATTATTAGTTATATAATGTATGTGGTAATCTGATTACCACCATTTTTTTAGGTATTTTGAAATTACTTTATTATATAATTTTTGTTATAATTTCACTCTTATTAATAAAATTTTAAGACAATAATGCTCTTATTTTGATTTTAATTTACATGTACTTGTCATTACAATTTTACCTCTAATTAATTAAGTTTTTTTTTTTTTTTTTTTAACAGTAATCCCCTTGTATTTAAAACAAATTGCAGGCCATCCAAGACCAACACCACCCGCTAGCAACCACTGTCAGTCATCGCTGACCAACATGTCTGAAACGACGCATAACCGATTAGATCTGGTCAGTCATGTGTCGATCTGGCCGTTTTTTTACTAGATTTTCAAACTAGATCCACATTGGATCTAGCTGAAAACGGCCAGATTGAGACACAATTGACCAGATCCGGTTAATCGTGCACCATTCCAGCGACTGTCAACTGCCGTCCGACGGTGATAGCCGGCTGTCATCTTGGGTGGCTGAGGTGCTTTAGTTAACTTTTAAACTTTTATTGTGAAGGTATTTAGCTAAATTAACAAATGTAGAGGGTTAAAAAAATAATCTAAAATAATAATAATATTAAAATGGAAGAACAATTTAGTAATTTATATAACATACCCTCTAATTTATTCCTCCCAACTAAACATATAAATGTAATATACCTATCAATTTATTTCAATCTAACAAAACACATTTATTTAAATAGTCCTAGTAATCATCAAAGTAATTTATCTTTCCATTAATATGACATTCCCATTTCTTAGTAATTTATTCCAATTTTTTTTTTTTATTTTAAATTTCAAATGCATATTTTTTTTTTTGAATTATATGGTTGTAATTGAATAAATTATTGTGTGTATTGATGAAATTAAAATGGCTAGGGTTAGGGAGAGGGTTTTAGTATAAGCTAGATTTAGATGGCCTGGTGTGGTTCATGTTTGAGTGTATTATGTGGGAGGCCTAGGCCATTTTTCTGTTTTGATTGTACGTATGTAATATGTATGCAGAAAGTTACGAAGAAATCCACCCAATTTTTACCCAAAAGACTAAAATACCCTCATTCATAAATAAAATCCATTACCATCTTCCAAATCTCATAATTCAAACTAAACACTTAGAATTTTTAATTAAAACAAATAAGAAATTTTAAAATGATAATTTAGAATATTTTGGTCTTTTTAATAAAAAAAGTTACTTAAATAAAACCTTATAGTAATGTAATAATATAAATCTTTGTGATGTAATTTTGAATTGGATTTAGAACATTAATGATTGGGTAATTAATTTAGAGTAAACTCACATTTTTTCACCCAAATAATAGGTTAATGACACTTTTCTATTTACATACTTTTAAAATACAACTTTATTACTAAATTTATATTCCGTTTTTCGATTTTGACATTGTTGCGACCCCACACCACCACCATTCTTTTTCTCGATCATCATTTCATCAAAACCTTTCAAACCCTACCCCTGTCGACCCTTCCAATCGTTGATAATCAAGCGACTAGGGTTTGTGCACCCACCCCTCCTAAATCAAATTTCGATCAATCTCATTTCCACCATCAAAACACTCATTGGTCTCCCCTCTTCAAAAGCCCAAACAGTTTAAACCGAGTTTGTTCTCTGTTCGCCGTTAGAATATAAATTTAGATAATAAAATCATATTTTAAAAGTCTGTAAGTAAGAAAGTCTCATTAAACCATTATTTAGGTGGAAAAAAATCTCTAACTCGTTTATTAGTCATAACTAGACATAGGGTCTACGCGTTGTGTGGGTATATTTATCTAATGTTTGTGAAATAGAATGTAAAAAAAATTATTTTAATAGAATAAAGTAATTAGATTAAGAGATGATAATTGTTAAATTATACAAGTTTTACAGTAAATATAAATTTTATATACATATAGAGTTGTGTTGGGCTAAAATTAATAATTGTAGCTTTATAATTATTAATATCAATTAATATTATCAAAATTACTTATTTAAACTTAAAATTTCTCCAATCAAGGTTTGAAAACAAATTTCTGTTTATACAGTTCATTCAAAGGCTTTATTTGTTTTACAGTTGAAAACATGATAAGTCAACTAATTTTTGGGTTAATAATTGTAGAACCATAAAACGGAATATAAAGAGGCTAACTTGCATTTTTATATGTTTCTTTTTTAATTCTTTAGATTTGTTGAATGTCTATGTAATGTACTTATATAATTATTATTAATACTCGTGCAATGTGTGAAAATAGAATAATTAAATCAAAACTAAAGTGTCAAGATGGAGAATTTTTAGTAGATTCATTAAACAGTAAATGCAATGCGTCAATTAAAAGTACACTTTTCAATCAATTAGTGACTAACATTAAAATCAAGATCAAAGTTGAATATAGAGAATAATACTTTTATTATTGTTAGAGTGAAGCACACAAAACGCTGTCGTCGCATTTAGTGGAACACTCTCGTTTTACTCTTGTCATCACAAAGAAATCCAGACCATTGAAGGACATTAAAATCTGATGGCCAGGATTCATTCTACCCAAAACAGAATGCAAAAAACGACTTGCTACTGCGTTTTTCAGTTTTTGCTGCTGGGTTTTATTTTCAGTTTTTGTGTATTCTGCGAAAAATAGATCTGCTCTGTATCGTCTCTTTTCTTGGCTGTAATCTTTGTGTGGTTGGTTGTAATCACTTGTAAGGGTTGCGTTTCCCTTGAGTCTTGAGGATCTAAGTTTAGAGTTCTCATAGGAAGATTTCAGTTTGTTGTGTGAGAGATATACACTGTTTTAGAGTGGATTTGGGTGTAGAATCTGTTTGTATCAGGTTGTATTAATCTTTAGTGCAGCGAGCTCCTGAGTTTCTTGAGCTCAATGTGGATGTAGTTTATCCTATATAGGATAAGCGAACCATGGTAAAAATTCATGTGTCTTTTGTTCTTGATTTCTTTGCATTCTTTGTTTGTGTGTTGTGTGTGAAATTGGTGGATGATTTTGAGTGATAGTAATACAGATGATCTCAACGGTGGTATCAGAGCCATCAATTTAGGGTTCGTCAATTTTAGGGTTTACTATTGAAATTAGGGTTTGATAAATTTTGGGGGTTTCTTTATTTCAAGATTCAGTGAGGTCTAGAGTTAGGAAATCTTCGAAAATTAGTCCTTAATTTCTTGTGATAACCACAAATTCGAGTGAAACCCTTGTTCTTCAAATATGTCTAAAAATTATCAAACACCATTACCATCAGTTACACAAAACGAGTACCACACGGGTTGAAATCACACACTATGATGGCAAAGTTGATTTCAACACATGGAAGAAGAAAATGAAGGCACTTCTGTCACATAACAAAGTGGCAGTCGCACTGGAGAAGGACCAGACCAAATGGCTCGAGGAAAAGCTGAAAAAGAAAGCCAAAATTGACGAGGAGGCGTACAATCTCATCGTCATGAATCTGGCCGACAACATTCAGCGAAAGGTCGATGGTGCTGAGACACCGTTAACTCTCTGGGGTAAGCTAGAATCACTCTATGCAGTTCAATCTGCCCCTAATCTTGCTTATTTGAAAGGTATACTGTTTTCTTATAAGATGGATAGTGCTAGGACCATAGAAGAGAACCTAGATGAGTTCTTGAAAATGACACTTGTACTCAAGGGCACTGATCAAGAACTCAGTGAGTCTAGTTTAGCCATGATTCTCTTAAATTCCATTACTGAAGAATATATGGTTGTCAAGAATGCCCTATTGCACACTGGAACTATCCCTAGTATAGACCTAATTACATCAGGTTTAAAGGCTAGAGAACTAGAGCTTAGGGTCCAGAAGAAAAATAACAGTAGTCTGTTTGTGAAAGGAAAGGGAGATTCTAGGTAGTCTGGGGGTAATTCTCAGTTTAATACTGGTTCTAGAAATAAAAAAAAAAACAAGAATACTTATAAGGGAAAAGGAGAAATAAGGAAATGTTTTTTCTATAACAAGACTGGTCACCTAAAGAAAAACTGTTATGAGTGGACCAGGAAACAAAAATAGAATAGTACAGAGAGCAATCTAGCCTCTAGTAAAACTGATATCCAAGAATCTGAAGTGTTGACTGTATCTAGGTCTGAAAATGTAGAAGAATGGGTATTAGATTCTGGGTGCTCATTCCATATGAGCCCCAATAGGGAGTGGTTTCAGGAGTTTGAAGCTGGTGAGTTAGAGACTATTTACATAGGGAATAATAATGCCTACAAGGTTCAAGGGATTGGAAGTATAGTTCTAAGTCTTGATAATGGTAAATCTGTCAAATTAACTAGGGTGAGATATATACCAGAACTGAAAAGAAACTTGATTTCCCTAGGTACATTAGATGAAATAGGATGCTGTTATAAGGATGAAGATGGTTGCCTAAATGTGTATAAGAATAAGAACCTAGTTCTGAAAGGTGTCAAACAGAATGGCCTCTACATCCTGTGTGGTAATTACTGTTCAAATTATGTTAATTCTGCTTTGTTCA